CAAATAATATCAATTCACTGACGTCATTAAATTGATAAATATTCATGTTTAAAAAATGAGAGTTGATCCGAAAAAATGATAAATGATTGATTTGCTTATTCATGCTCACGGATTCAGGGAATAAATCTCTGGCTTCCATATTTGACTCATCTTCACGTGAATTGATTCAATTCCATCGAAATCACTTGGTCTCCAATTTAAAAATGAGTCAGTCCAGACCTGACAATAGAAACCATTAATTATTTTCCACCGTACGACCGGAGAACCGGCAAAATGAAGGCTTCAGCCTGTTCTATGAATATTCATAACTGAAATTCGAAAATAAATTCTAATTTCCATTTTGCCACTTTACTCACAATATGCACTCGAGTGTGTAACTCCAATTCGGCCTTTTCCTCGTGCTGGCAAGAATAAGATGAATAGAATAAAAATGAATTCAGTAACCAAATACTAAATCAAGGTCCTGTGATATTTTTTATAAAATCTCTAGTTTTTGGGATCAATCGGTAATTGATGCAACGAGAAATTCCTTACGTAATCTGCAAATACCAGTCGCAGAATCATCTTGAATTCAGTCTTGTTGCCGTGGGGTGCAGGCCTGATGTTGGGATCGTAATCACAGAACAAATGCCTTTTTAATCGGTACTCTGTAGACGAGTCCTCTATTACCTTGCAAAAGGTATCAGATTCATCTGCTAAGGTTGATCTGCTCAGACAGATGGCTATAATAGCAGTCAATTTGAAGAGTGTCATGATGTTGACTATGAAACTGAGGATGTGAGACTGACCAGTGAACTAAAGCATTTGCAAATCTTATCGAACGCCCCTCGAAATTCGATATTCTTCAAATAATAATATTCAACGCCCACTGAAGAAGGCCCTGCACTCCAAAATTATGAAGAATTTTTTACTCCCCTTCGCGATCGATAAATCGTGTCTATAAATCATTAGCTGCAAAGCTTTAATGAATTTTTTCATAGAAAATGGAATGGATGAATGGAATGGATGAAATCCACTGGCGAATATTCCTCGATGGTTTATGAGTTAATTAAAAAGACTTTATTTGCGTCTTCACCTTACACATCCAATCAATTTGTTTTAGATAAAGTACCTATTGACAAATCTCTTTAATTCTAAATTTGGATAAATCCTCAAGTGAGGAGAGCAAGACACATGATAAAATACGTGAAACCAAAGGTGAAGAGTAAAAGCCACCCAATGACAGTGACAACATTCTCCCAGTTGGAGTTTTTCGGTTGAGAATTCACTAGACCACTGTTGTCATCAGCATCATCTTGCAGCAATGCCGATCCTTTAGGATCCATGATATTGATCGTCAGTACTTGTCCAACTTTACTCGTAAGGATGACTGAGACCTGTGAGACCAGCCACACAGGCACTTCTCGTTTCGACTTGAGAAGATTCTGGAGCCAGCAGCTCAATATCAATATCAACGTCGACAGAATGAGAGAGTTGTTGTAGAAAACCACTGAAAAATCCATAACTAATAAACTGAAGGATCCCAAAAAAATTCCAGAAATTCATCATGCTGAATTCAATTCGCATTTTGCCTCCGGGACGTAAACTCACGAATATTTGGGACTGTTCTTCCAGTACTAGGAACTTTCCAATGAAGATTCCGAAGAACCAGCAGATGTCCCAACAGATTTAAACAGCATAATATGAGACGCTCGGTGGATCCCGGTCTCAGCCAGAGAATCGTCATAGTCATCACAGTCAAGACTGAATAAAAAATAATAGCATCTCAAATAAAATTCCCCCCTGACAAGATGTTAAAAAAATAAATACTTATGACTGGAGTGACGAAGACGCTCTTCAACACTGTTTGTGTCCTAGTCAGGAGAACTGACACTGTAAAAATTGGAAAAGTAGCGTTGCCAGATAATTTGGATGTTCGAGTCGTGATATTCATCAATGGGAGAGAGATTTTCCATTGGTCTGTTCCCCGATAACGATCGATAACAAGGCCAGTGTCTTCTCCGAAGGTGATGTCCTGGTCGGAGTGGCCCCATGCACCCAATTGCAAAGTGCAATTATGAGTGTCCCAGGGCCAATAGGTGTAATCAGGAACGCAGGGTACGATGTACGTTATTGATGGAATACATATAATTGCACCATTGTACGCCAGCCTACAGGAGGCATCGGTTACTCTACCGATGTCTTCATCGCTTCTATTATTTAAAAAAATAGGGGATTCCCTCGATAAATGGATTCGAGTCAAGTCGTAACATCGCACAAGTGTCATTTTCTCAATTCTTATTTGATCTGATTAGATTAATCTAATTGATAATTAAGAAAAATACTCAATTAGATTTATCTCAGTTCAGTACTGGAATATTTATATAGAACCGATGTTTAAGAATTGATTGATGCTCACGGGTCCATTGTGTACACCTCTGGGAACCAAATTTCATTTCCTCTCACAGCGATTTCTTTTATTTTATCGCGTTCGTCTGGCTTCCAGGTGAGAAAGGGGTCGATCCAGTGCTGTTTTGCATGAAACGAAATAAATGGACGAATTTTTTCGTGCAATTTGAGAAATTCCTTGATAATAAAAGTGTCGATATGGAAATGAACTGTGCAATCGTGTGTCAAACACTTACGACAATGAGCCAGCTGTGCAGTTTCATACTGGAACTGTGACTCATCTACAGATAAATTGATTTAAAAAAATGAGAAAAAAGAATGAATGATAAGAGGAGGAGGATCAGTTCTACATACGAATTGGACGTATTCTGGAATAACAGTAATGTGAACCTCGGTTGCATTTTTAGATGCGTCTCCAGGTCGGATTTGAGGATCGTAATCGCAGAAGAGGTGCCTTTTGAGTTGGTAAAGAGGTGTATCCTCCTCAATAATTTTGCAGTTGAAATCTTCAAAATAGTCATAGGCAGAGACAAATCGATTGACGTAGATTAGTATGAGGACAATGAGCCTCGATGGAGTCATGATGTTGACTATTTAACTGCGACTAGACAACTGATGTGAGAGTAGGTGGACCGAATCCCTAGTTAACGCCCCTTGATGGATGAAACTTGAGATTCCCGATATGTCTACAGAATAACGCCTCTAACCCGTTATTACCTCTTTTCACCGAGTTCATTATCGAAAATATCGTAATAATTAAACACATAATTAATTAATCGAGTGGTTCGTAGATGAATTCCTATTACCGGTTGTGATCAATTAGAAGATGACGAATGAATGAGAATACTATACACGTGAGACTGTCAATTGCATCCTCACCATATCTATCCAATTAATTGGTTTTAGATAAAATACCTGCAGGCAATTCTCTTTAATTCTAAATTTTGATAAATCCTCAAGTGAGGAGAGCAAGACACATGACAAAATACGTGAAACCAAAAGTGAAGAGTAAGAGCCACCCAATGACTGCGACAACATCCTCCCAGTTGTAGTTTTTCGGTTGTGAATCCAATAGACCACTGTTGTCATCAGCATCATCTTGCAGCAATGCCGATCCTTTGGGATCCATGATATTGATCGACAGTAATTGTCCGACTTTACTCGTAAGGATGACTGAGACATGTGAGACCAGCCACATAGGCACTTCTCGTTTCGACTTGAGAAGTTTCTGGAGCCAACAGCTCAACATCAATACCAACGCCGAGAGGATGAGCGAATTGTTGTAGAATACCACTGAAAAATTGATAATTAAAGAACTGAAATGTCGAGGGAGGACTGAACAAGGCCCTGCGCAGAGGAGCGAGACTAATCTGAACCATTTTAAGTCATCAGTTACTCAAGATTAATGAAGTTAAATTCAATTCGGTAGCGGAGATATAATTAATTACAAGGCAAATGATAAAATTTTGTTCTTGCAAATGGGTCAATCTTGCCTCAATTTTTCAAATGTAAACTCACCGATATTAGGAACGCTTTTCCCCGTACTAGGAACTCTGTAGTGCAGATGCCGAAGAATCAGCAAATGTCCCAAGAGATTCAAACAACATAATATAAGACGCTCGATAGATCCCGGCCTCAGCCACAGAATTGTCAGAGTTACCACAGTCAAGACTGAATAAAAAATAATAGAATTTTAAATAAAATTCAGTCCCGACAAGAAGCCAGAAGAATTAATACTTATGACTGGCGTGACGAAAACACTCTTCAAGGCTGTTTCTGTCCTAGTCAGGAGAACTGACATTGTGAAAGATGGAAAACTAGCATTGCTAGATAATTTTGATTTTTGACTCGTCATTGTCATCATTGGGGGAGAAATCCTCCACTGGTCGGTCCTTCGGTAGTGATCGATTATCAAACCAGATTCATTACCGAAATTTATCTCTTCATCGGAGTAACTCCATGCACCCAATTGCAAGGTGCAGTTGTGGGTGTCCCAGGGCCAGTGGGTGTAATCAGAGACGCATGGCACGATGTAGGAAATTGAGGGAACACAGATTATTTCACCTGTGTACGACAACCGACATTTGGTGTCGGGTATTCTTTTGATATCTTCACCGCTTCTGTTATTCAAAAAATTGTGAATTCTCTTGATAAATCAGTTACTAAATGACAAAGCGTAATTTATTATAAATATTTAAATTGCATATTATTATTGAATTCATCACGCTTTACCACTTTACAACAGAAATATCTCGATAGAATATTTAACTTAGAGTGGATTAATGCTCACGGATCCATTGTGTACACTTCTGGAATCCAAATTTCTTTTCTCCTTAGAAACAAACGTTTTATGTCATCATGTTCCTCCGGTTTCCAAGTAAGAAAAGGGTCGAACCATTCCTGGGTCGTCAAGATAAATTCATTAACTTGATGGATTAAAAAAAAATATTCACTAACAATTCGTGAACACTGATGATAATGAGAGCCGTAATTAATGAGAATGGAGATGCGCTTTATAATTATTGGTGAAAGACTTACGATAAAGAGCCAGCTGTTTATCTTCATTTTGGAATTGTAACTGGTCTATAGCAGACAAATTGATTTTAAAAAATGAGAAGAAAATGAGTGATTAGAAGGGGCGGATCGGTTTTACGTACAAAAAAGACGTTTCGCGGGAAAACTGTGGCCTGGACAACAGTTGCATTTTTTGATCCGTGTCCAGGTCTAATTCCAGGATCGTAATCGCAGAGAAGGTGTTTTTTGAGTTTATAGAGAGGTGTTCCATCGTCGATAATTTTGCAGTTGATTTTCGAATGATGTTCGTCGGTAGATACGAATCCACTGACGTAGATTACTAGGAGGACAATCAGCCTCAATCCACTCATGATGTTAACTAGTTAACTGCGACTAGACAACTGACGTGAGCGTAGGTGTACTAAGGCCGTACCAAATGCCCCTCACATCAAATTGACATTCGCAATGCGCTTTTTAAATTACACCTCTTACACCTCTTACACCTCGCAGAGTTATCTTAAATGCAACAGTTCTTAAAGACACATCATCAATTAATTGAGTGATTTGTAGATGAATTATGACAGGTTGTGATGAATTAGAAGACGACAAATAAATGAAAAAACTATATATTATTTTAGATAAAGTACCTGCAGACAATTCTCTTTAATTTTAACTTTAGATAAATCCTCAAGTGAGGAGAGCAAGACACATGACAAAATATGTGAAACCAAAAGTGAAGAGTAAGAGCCACCCAATGACGGTGACAACATCCTCCCAGTTGTAGTTTTTCGGTTGTGAATCCAATAGGCCACTGTTGTCATCAGCATCATCTTGTAGCAATGCCGATCCTTTGGGATCCATGATATTGATCGACAGTACTTGTCCAACTTTACTCGTAAGGATGACTGAGACCTGTGAGACCAGCCACGCAGGCACTTCTCGTTTCGATTTGAGAAGTTTCTGGAGCCAGCAGCTCAAAATCAATACCAACGACGAGAGAATGAGAGAGTTATTGTAGAATACCACTAAAAATAGATAATTAATGAATAGAAGAATCGAGGGAGGAATTAAACAAGCCCCTGTGGAGAGGAGCGAGGGGAACATGACCATCGAGGTAAACTCACAGATATTAGGAACACTAGTTCCACTGAAAGGAACTCCCCATTGAAGAATCCGAATGATCAGTAAATGGCCGACTAAATTCAAACAGCAAAATACCAGACGCTCAGTGGACCCTGGTCTCAGCCAAAGAATCGTCAAGGTCACCACAGTCAAGACTAAATTAAAAATAATTGCATCTTCAATAAAGTACATCCAACAATTGCAGCAGCAAAGTGACAAAAGAAGACTCAACTCAACTCCTCAGTAAGTCTTCCAGAAATATCTCTGAAACCGAGAGCGATATAAAAATTTTCATAATAACCTTTTCAATAGCTCTCAGTTATCCCTCCAAAAAATGTCCCAATAAAAATTCAATTATCTCTCTTCAAATCAAAGATATTTCCAAAAACTCGACGGATGGGTGAGGGTGGATTCTTTTTTTACCACTCGGCCACAGAATTTTCGGATGAAAAAATAAATGAATAAGTACTTATCACTGGGGAGATAAAGATATTCTTCAATCGGGTCTGGGTCCTGGTCAGTAGTACTGACGCCGTGAAAGTTGGAAATGTGGCGTTGCTTGATAATTTGGATTGCTCGGTCTTTAATCTGTTCACCGGTCGAGATATAATCCACTCGGTGCGATCATGATAGTGATCGATGACGAAGAGAGTATCATTGCTGAACGTTACCTCTTCGTCAGAGTACGCCAATGTACCCAGCCTCAGGGTGCAATTATGCACATCCCATGGCCAGTGAGTGTAATCAGAGACACAGGGCACGTCGTACTTTATTAATGGAACACAAGCTACTTTGCCCGTTGACTTGAGTTTGCAGCTTACATTGCCGATTCCTGATATCGATCCACCTCTCCTGCTTAATTATATTCATCATTCATATAATTAATTAATCAGAATAAATCCTGCAGCCAAATGATCAATCATTAAATTTTTTTTTTGCCTGATCACTTTGTTGCGGAATTAATCGTGGAATTAATGCTCACGGATCCATAGAATAGAAATCGGGTGTCCAAATTTCGTTTTTTCTGATAATTATTGATCCTATATCGTCGTACTCCGCCGGATTCCAAGTTAGGAAGGGATCCTTCCACTCCTAGGTCCACAGGAATGAAGAGAAATGAATCTTTTAATTTTTTCCTGGATAAACACTTATGCTTCACCGAGATGAGTATAAAATAATGTATGAAATACTTACGATTATGATCCAACTGTTTAACTCAACACTAGCTTTCCACTTATTCTGCAAATATACGATAATTAAATCGGTAAACCCCATAAAAAATCGGAGATCAAGAAAACGCGAATTAATTCAAAAGTGAAATCGCAAGGGACAATAATTCGATTCAAAGAATAACCGAGTAATTGAGAAACACCTCTGAATCGAAGAGAGCTAACAAAATTTTGATAAAATTATAAAAAATTCGCTGTCTCCATTAGATTGGTGGATATTTCTCAAAAACGACTAGATCACAAGTCGATTTATGCCGATCGATAGCAAAATCTACATACGAATGTGATGTGTTTCACGATAATAGCAAGATCGATATAGGTGATATTTTTGGAACCGTGTCCAGGTCTGATTCCAGAATCGTAATCACAGAATAGATGTTTTTTGAGTTTGTATAGGGTCGTTCCATCCTGAATTATTTTGCAGTTGAAACTGAAAAGATCCTCATCGGCAGATACAAATCCACTGACGTAAACTACTATGAGAGCAATCAGCCTCAATGCAGTCATGATGTTAACAAGTTAACTGTGACTAGACAACTGATGTGAGCGTAGGTGGACTGACTATCAAATGCCCTCGAATGAAATTTCAGATTGTCGATATATTTATGCAACATACGCCCCTTCCACACCTCGTGTCTTCCCCTCAACTTTATCATCTCGAATACCAAATCGGTTAAATAAACGATCGATAACGAATTTATCCTGAATCCCTCATCACCTTCAGACATTATAAAAATAAAAATCATCTCAAGTCAACTCAGTATTTTCAAAATATTTATTGCAACTTTCTGATTTCAAGTTTAAACTTGAATTACTGTAAGTAATTAGTATTCGTAATGCTTGACTGGATTCTTCGGAGCCATTGGCAGGAGGACAGCGATCAGGATGAAGTAAGTAATGGTGAAGATCACCAGAGCCAACCACTCGAAGACGATAGCGCACTCCTGCCAGGTTTTGTTGGGTTTTGATGGTGACACCTCCGTTTCTCCGTCCTCGAGGGTCACTTCGGACTTTAATGACCCCTCGCTGTTCACAAGGCGACCGATCGGCGAATTGAGGACGGTTGAAGTGAGAATTATCACTGCTGATGGGGCTGGTGTACTCAGAGAGTAAATTTTACGGAGAAAACTGGTTAGCACTAGGATACAGCTGGAGAGGATCAGCGAGACCTCGTAGAAGATCACTGTCAATTTTTTTTTAATCGTTTCATTAATGCTCACCACCGAATTCTTCGATATTGCAATTTAAAGAAAGCGTCAATTGTCAAATTATTTTATTAATCATTATATTTTCGAATTCCAAATTATTATTATTATTATATATTTTTTTTAATGTGATTGATTGATTGGAAATTTCAATTGTCATGATTACTTACGGATTTTGGGAATATTGAGACTAGTAGACGATGGTAAACTCCAATGTAGATCTAGTACGAGTAGAATATGGGCGATGAAGGTCACCCCAGAAATAGCAATCCTCTCCATTGAGCGAGAGTCCAGCCAGAGAATAGTCAGAGTTATCATCAAAATGACTAATCAAGAAGACAAATTGACCAGGAAATGATAATTGAAAAAATAGTTGTGATAAATCAGAAGATAAAAGGAATTACCAACAGCTGGGGCAACAAACGACATGCCCCCCCTCATCGGGTTTCTCGTCAATCCAACATGCAGAAAGAACATATTGTCCCATGATCTCTCATACCTCTCCGAGAAGCTCGTCAAATTGCTCATTTCCACGTCCCACACGCGATTTTCCCGGAGCTCATGCATGTAAATCTTCAGAGAAATCGTTATTGAGACGACGATATAATTGAATCGGTCTTTGAATTAAATTGAGTGAACACTCACGTCTCCAAATGTCAAGTTGACGTTGGAATCGTAATGGATCCAAGAGCCAAAGTGCAGAGTACAATTGTGTTTGTCATACGGCCAATTAGTAAAATCTGTTGGGCAGTGAGTGGTGAAGACTCTGGCCCCAGCACACTGGATCTTTCCATCTGATTGCAGGTAGCAATCCGTCGACGGAAGTCCCGTCTGATCTTTCGAGAAGTCTCCCCTTTTCAATTCATCAAATTAAACGTTCATTCATTCACTTCAATTCAATCTTCATTCTGATCAGCGAAATTCAACACTTTATCTCTTCATTTTTCACTCCAACCGTACTGTACATTATCTCAGACTTAAAATTTTTGCCATTAAATCCCTTTCATTCAATTCATCGACATCTCCCACTCATTAAGCTTAATATAATTAATTAAATAATTACGAATTGAAGACTGTGAAGTCTGGAACCCAAATATCATTACTCTTCACGTAAGTCGAATTAACACCATTGAAATCGGATGGCGTCCACGTGAGATGAATGTCCTGCCAGTTCTGAATAAATAGTCTTGTTATTCCTGAACGAGTGAAACCAGATAATTCAACTCACCATGATCATCCACGTGTGGAAATCCAGTGTCCCAGTATATTCGTTCTGCCAGAAGAAAATGATAAGAGCATGAAGGAAAATAATGGGAATGTCGATGAATTAATGATTGAATATTCACCATTTCCACAGACACGGGGAGCAGCGAGACCTCGATGAAAACCTGTTGATCCTTATTCTTGGTCGGGATGATATCCTTATCATAATCACAGAATAGATGCCTCTTGAGTTTCAGAGCTGGTGATACCGACTCGATTTCCTTGCAGGTGAAATCACCAGAGCAACTTGCCCACAGGCTGATGATCGTGATGATAAATATCACTCCCTTACACATGATTCGATTCGCGTAGCAAATAGCCGACTGGCTGCCGTCATGGAGAACATTGACGCATCTTTTTCAAACGCCCCCCAAATGTAATTTGAGCTTATCAAGCAGTGTCACTTGGTGTCCAGCCCCAAACACTCGTAATCACTCGATAATACCAACAATATCCGCCATTACTCCATAATTCTTTCCCGTAAGCACCTCAGAGCACTAAAGCGAATTGATAAAAACTCAATTCACAAAAATAAATGGAAAAAACCGGATAACCAGCGGCGAATTTCAAATTTCGAGCGATTTCCCGCGTGTGCAGAACTCTCTGTCCCATTGGACGCGCAGGTTCTTCCCAGAATTTTCGGGGCGACAACGGAATCGGGTAAATAACCAGTTTCGATGGCCTGGGGATTTTTTTGTCGGCCAAATGCACTCGGCCATCTAGATTCGTTGAATCTATGGGTGAAAAAAAAATCGCCGGAGCTTGTGGTGGGGAAGAGACGAGGGGGTAATGGGAATCATCTAGCCCGGGGTCTTAACGTACCCCCCCGAAAAATCATATTCACACGTAATACTTAATATCGCTGTTACGTGGTGATTTATTTTGGTCTTGCGTGGGTGGAGGTACAGTGGGGTGGACCGAGTGAAAAAATAACGCCGGTCTCAACTATTTTTGAAAAGCTGATTCAACCACGCCGTCAGAATTCTACAGGGCATTCCTTTTATTCCCGTTTTCACGTCCCCCCATTGAAAAACAAGAGGTTAGTACGCGGAATCATTATTATTTGGTGTACAGTATTTCGGAGCAGCAATTTCGAAAACATTCCCTCACCCGCGGGCTGGGGGCGGTCTATTCGAATCTTTGGTGCTCCGAAAAAAAAATAAACAAACAAAAGTAAAAAAAAAAAAACTGTACTGGCGAGATTATATGAGTTTAATGAATTGGGAGATATTCTAGAAATTGCAGGACTGGTGAAAGGGAAATTCCTGAATCTCACTCTGTCAAACTCGATTTATTGCCGATGAGAGAAGTCATTTTTCAATTGCGTGACAAATGGCATTCATCAATAAATAAATTATGTATGATTGTGGCCATGAAGGGGAGGACATTTATTGTAATCGGTAATGAATATGTGTTCGAATTAAGACGATTGATAAAAAAAATAGAGAAAAGATATTAGAGGAAAAAATCTTGAGATAAGCTAGATGGCGAATCTGAATCAATTACGACTCATTTGAAGACTGGAGAACACGCCCTAATAATTATAAAATGATAAACTTGAAGATCCAGAAAAATGCATTTACAAGCGGAAAAAATCGGTTGTAAAATTCATTCCAGGGTTCACATTTAATTGAAAAACTTTGCAAAAATCGTAACGAGGGGACGCGCTGGTGCCGGGGTTGGGACAATCGGTCGACGGTGGGACACGGGGGGCGAAGGGGGCGATGGCGGGTGTAAGGGGGAAGTTGGGGGAAAAGGGGGGGTGGTAGAAGGGGAAAGCAGTGTCTCCGTAGCTCGTCCACCAGCAAATCGTGTGTCAGACTCGTGGCAGAGGGGTCAGTGCGAGGGAAAGAACGACGAACGATTTAACATTGGGCTCGGCGGGTACGTGATCTTTCTCCACTTTTTGTTTTTTTTTTTTTTAAATTGTCTCAACCCAATCGCCTCGATAGTCCTCCACAATTTTCCCCTCCCATCCAGGGTGGGAAGTGCCCCCTTGTCACGTTACCCAGGATCGTGTGGACCATTCACTGGCATACGTGGATTTAAAGAGACGCCGTAATTTTTTTTTTACATATTTTTTTCAATTCGATTTTTGCATAAATCCATTCACTGGCTATATCACACAATTCGATAATTAATCTGGTAATTACGTTGAGGTATTGTGTCACGGGTGATTTTGGTTTTCCGAAAGGTGAACGAGTTATTGGAGGTGATTTAATTGGAATAAAACACGAGGATGAACGACATGGAAGCCTATGGTGACGGCTACATGGAGCCCGAGGAGGAGTGGGAACGAGAGGGTCTTCTCGATCCTGCATGGGAGAAACAACAGAAAAAAGTGAGTGGAATTTTGAACAATTAGTTGATTTATCCGGTAATGAAATATTACCGAGGGAAATTTAAATGACCTTCACGCACGCGTGCCATTGTTTTTCCACGTTGTCAAAGTGGAAGGGGGAGGGAAACTTGAAACGGTCTTATCAGGAGACCGGTTTGCTAACTATTCAGTGGATCTGTTTATTCATCTTTCTTGAGTGTTATCTTCTTTTGAATTTCCTCGGTATTCATGAAAATTCAGAATTCCTAAATAAATTCGCTCTGATCTCCCTTCGAGGGATTTCATAGCCTCAGAGAGGGATCCAGCTGATTGATGATGATTGGATATTGGGCATTAGAGATTGATGTCGTCTTTGGTATTCATCGGTGTGATGAAATTTTATAAAATAATTTGCGTCAGTGGGGACTTGCGAGGACTCGCTGGGATTTATCTATATTTATTTTTCAGTGATTCAAGATAGTTTCAGGTCAAGAACAGTTGAGGATTTAAATCAGGTGGATGCGTAGGCTGTGGGGCAAGACGATATCTTTTGAATTTTTGGCAAGAGGCGTGTTGAGATGGAAGAGTGAGGAAAACTCAAGTCCGTACGGAACTCACGTATTTTTGGAGCTTCAAGACTAAAATAATTGTGCTCTGAGTCAGATGATTACGTGTCGTTTTGCTTATTGGAGTTTTTACTGCGATTGTTTATTGTTTTCCGCTGTTTTGTTAATGGAGGGTACTATTGTTGACACGAGGATGTGGCAATTGTTGGATTTCCGGGTTGTAGGGCGTTGAATTTCGATGAAATGATCGGATGAGTTTATAAATACATTTGGGATACAAGACGAATGGTATTGGTCGAACTAAAAATAAATAGTTGGGAGGGGGAAGAGGTCGAGGACCCGTGGTTATCACTAAATTGCTGGGGAATCATTCGAGTCTCTGGTCCTTGCTCATTGCCTGGAGTTTCTCAAGGTCAGCCATTTAAATTCACATTTGTTGATGGGGTAATTGGTTGACATTTGTCATTTACCAACCGATGACGTGAGGATCGTTAACCTCTGATCGGGTTTAGGCCAGGCGCCAAACATCGCGGAATTGAAATCGGGTGACCCACAATCAGCATTCTTCAAACTTCTTTTTTAATCCAATCGTAATAAATCGATTGGCCTCAGGGAGAGAGAGAGATAAATTAATGGTTTTTCATCTTCAATAATTTGAGATCGGAGACTGAGATTCAACGGGTTTTTATTCATCTCGTGGGCTCTTTTCATGTCTCCAAATGAGACCTGATTTTCTCAAACCGTTTCAGTGGCTTTGCAGATTTTTATAATCTAGGAAACCTAGTTTCTGTAACGGAGTTGTTCAACTGGGAATTTCTGGTGAAAACATCAGAGTTTAATGGTGACTGGAAAAATTTAGGATCAGATGGGCAATTTTACAATGAACTCAGTCGAGAAGAAAATTGATTTGAGGTGGAAATCGGAGGAAAGGCGGAGTATAATTCAAGGATTGTTTTCTCATCTCAGAAATACCTCCCCAGACCTCACAACGAGACCAATGAATTGCCTGCATTGCACCGCGAATTTCAAAATCGACATTTAACATTTTTATTTAAATCTGCCAATTGATGAGAGTGAAGTATTTTTTCACCGAAGTGTTAATTTCCAAGGACTATCCAAAGCCAGAGATGTTTGGAATATCTCCAATGCCATTTGAACTACTCCCGTATTACCATTGTTACGAGCATTGTTTTATGACCAACGACCAATTAAATTTCTACTCAAGCGCGAGGGCTAGATGTCCTCTCATTGTTTATTAATATAAAATAAAAAATTGAGAATGACTTTTTCGTGGGATTACGTCACAACATCTAAAAGCGATCCCCGATGGCTCACAAAAATATCTGGAGATCTGCTCTCTCTTTTTTCCATCTTTCCGTTGAATCTTCAGATTTGAAAGCTTGCGTAAACAAACGGTTCATCAGTTTCCTGATCGTCGAACAGATTCCTTTTGTCCTGGGGATTTATCCCCGAAACATGTTTAAGATATCTGGTATTCCGCTCTGTTACTCCACCAGTCATTTTTTTTCATTGCTCCACCAGTCTTTTAACATTCTTTTTATTGCAACGTCTGGGTAAGGAAAGGGCGTGTCCAAGAGGTTTTTCGTTTCCGCTCGGAGATTTGGCACGCCGTGCGATTTCTGCGAATTGGAATGGCTCACATTTTTTTTTTTATATATATTTTTGAAAATGTTCTATTTGTTATTGCATCAGCTGACGATTGCGTGGCCGCAATTAGTGATTGTTGTCGCATAGGTTTGCAGGTGACACCAGGAAGTTGAACTCCAGTAACCGATTGGCCTTATTTCAGGCAACTGGTGGTTTTGATGATGAAAAATTATTATACGACTGACACCCTTTTTTGTTATTTATCGGTTACAAGTTCCACCAGACACTGTACCGTTTTACCCAGCTCTCACTGGCTGCTGCGTCATTGGTTCTGTGGCAATTAAGGCCAGATACGAAATTTCTGAATTCTAGAATTCCAGTTTTATTGAATTCATTGGCATCGGTTTAGCCGCATTTGTGTCCTGAACCTTTCAAAAGGAATTTCCAATTATCGGATTGGGATGGAATTTTTTTACACGCGGAATCGGCGCCTCGACCGGAGGTGAGGACTTGCCAACCGCACGAGTGAGAAGACCCCAGGACAATTCGCTATGGACAATAGGATATTATCTTTTTTTCCTGGGGATTTTTATGCTTTCAGCTTGGACGGGGTGGGGAACCTTATAGATGAGAAATTGTGAGAAGACGTGCGGAAAAATCGGTTGGAGGCGACAACATTCGGCAGAACGTGTGTGAAGACGCGCGGGAGGACTTGCAATGTTTTACAAATAGAAACGGTGGAGCCCGTGGTTCTTGTTGAGGTTAGGGTGGGACCACTCATGTCCAATTTTGGATCGGGTGCTTTCAAGACCCGACAGTATTGGGTTTCAGGCTATAGGTGTTCCTTCGTCGAGAGCTACTGCCTCGAGACATTATTGCCGCTAGAACATGATTAATATGTCTTTGAGCTTTTTTCGGTTCCCTCGAAATTTTAAAATATCAGAACTCGTTTTTTAATATCTGCAAGAATACATTTCTGAAAAAAAATCTTTTTGAAACTCACAAATTTACGATTTTTCATTCCTCGATTTTCCTATGGCAAATCAAATGTCGGACTTTTTCAAAAATAAATAAAATTTAAGAAATATATAATGTAATTTGAAAAAAGGATTTTCGTTGGAAATTTGGGTTTTTTCCTTGTGGTTGAAATTTTCGGGGGGGTTTGATTTTGGTTTGGGGTTGGATTTTTTTAATTCTTTGGGAAACCCTTTTTTGAGGTTTCAAACGGGGGCTTGTTTGTTTGAATAGTGTGATTCGGTCTGGGAACGTTGATAATTACATATTACATCACGTTTCGGTGACAGACATCGAGGAGAATTTTTTCGAAAAAAATCTAGTGTTTTATTAGACAAATAACATTGGACTAGATGTTGTCTCGCGCCCCGATAAACGAACCAGGACGCCACACACATATGCACACACAGTGGGAAAGGGATCGGGGTCGTTACTAAAATATACATGCAGCCACATAGGTGGTATTCTCGAAAGAAATACTAGTCCCTGGTTTGACGATATGAATTCCGGGGAATGACAGAATCAGTGGGGTAAGGGGATTGTGCTATCAAGGTTGAGATCTTCATGATCTAACTGCCTTCTACCGTTATCTCTCAGCCATCCCCCCACCAACTGATTCATTTGCCAGATATTCCCAGATTAACATTCCTAATGAATGAACTGTTGGAAAATTACACTTGAAATTCCAAGTGGAAAAATGAGAAATTTCTTACAACAACCACGTGACGGAAAATTTATACTAATTCTTCACCGATGAATCACTTAATTTCCTGAATATTCTTCTCTGCGTTAATCTGGAGAAATTGAATTTTGAATTTGAAATTGGAATTAAAAAATAAATTTACCAGAATTTTCTCGTTTCCGGGAATTTTAAGGAAATGGATTTGTGCGATTTTTTATTTTTACCGCCGAAATCTTAAAAACGTTCTGTCGAAGAGACGATGATTCTGATAAATAAATAATTTGTTAACAGACATTCACAGCATGGTGCAACTCGCACCTGCGAAAAGCAGGAACTGCCATAGAATCGATCGAGGACGACTTCAGGAATGGCCTGAAGCTGATGCTCCTGCTGGAGGTGATATCCGGTGAAACTCTGCCAAGGCCAGATCGTGGCAAGATGCGTTTCCACAAAATTGCTAATGTAAATAAAGCACTGGATTACATCGCGAGCAAGGGAGTGAAACTGGTGTCAATCGGCGCCGAAGGTGAATTAAATCACCAGACAAACATAATAAAGGATTCCTAACTTTTCTAATATTCCGAAATATTAAAAAATAACCATAACTAACGCAACGAATTATTTCAGAAATTGTCGATGGCAATCTGAAAATGACCCTGGGAATGATCTGGACAATTATCCTCCGTTTCGCCATCCAGGACATTTCCGTCGAGGAAATGACTGCCAAAGAGGGTCTCCTCCTCTGGTGTCAGCGTAAAACTGCGCCCTACAAAAACGTCAACGTCCAAAACTTCCACTTGTCCTTCAAGGATGGTCTCGCATTCTGCGCTCTCATCCATCGTCACCGTCCTGATCTCATCGATTACAATAAACTCAGCAAGGATAATCCACTGGAGAATCTCAACACTGCTTTTGACGTCGCTGAGAAGTACCTTGACATCCCCAGGATGTTGGATCCCGACGGTATTAATCAATTATTCCTTTTTCCATGGTATCAATCATCAATAAATTTGAGTAATTGCTCCAGACCAAGAAGACAAATCAAAATTTAAGTTTTGAAAAACATTTTCAATTTATCATTGGACTAGAGTAACTCGGATACTTGCAGATTTTTTTTTAATATCTTTAACTCAGGAATAAATTGACGAATTCATTTCACTTTCGATTCTAATCGACAAAATTCGATAGATCTGATCAACACACCCAAGCCGGACGAAAGAGCGATCATGACTTACGTCTCCTGCTACTACCATGCTTTCCAGGGTGCCCAGCAGGTCAGCGAGTCGAATCGTGTCCTATTTACTGACTCTAACTGTTTTTCGTTTGCAATCGCCCAACTAATTACCAATTGACAATTGACGGTCACTCAATTAATAAAATACTTGTCCCCACAGAGATGTTCTAACAAGGCATGGTGTTAAAGTTTGCTGACTGATTATTTCTAGACATGAGCAACACAGCAAAACCCGATGAACGAGCTGTTATGACCTACGTTTCGTCGTATTATCACTGTTTCAGTGGTGCACAAAAGGTGTGTGTTCAGTGAGTGAGCTTTTAACTAACTCGTTCTGTTCAGGATATCCAAGTGCTTTAATTTATAAAAATTCTCGAATGCTGTCCTAAAATTTTGAATATAAAAATTAAAATTCAATTAAAAAAAACGTACTTGGATGTCCATAAACGAATGGATCAACGTGAGCAGAATTTTGAAACTGGAAGAATATTTTTTTTTTACTGAATCAAATCAGTAGTAAATTTTTCCTCGATGTTTTTTTTTGTGGACGGAAATAAAAGCCAGAAAAAATTACATGAAAAAATTTGGCCATCTCACTCAGATACAGAGATATTTTCCAAAAACGAGTGTTATTTAATGGCTTGACTACTGAATTAATAGGATTGAAGGAGAAATTGAATGATGAATTAAATTCCAGGCTGAGACAGCAGCAAACCGAATTTGCAAGGTTCTCAAGGTGAATCAGGAGAACGAGCGTTTGATGGAAGAGTACGAGCGCCTCGCCTCCGACCTCCTCGAGTGGATCCGAAGGACAATGCCCTGGTTGGCCAGCAGACAAACCGACAATTCCCTCGCCGGATGCCAGAAGAAGCTCGAGGAGTACCGTACTTATCGTCGCAAGCACAAACCACCACGCGTAGAGCAAAAAGCCAAGTTGGAGACGAATTTCAATACCCTCCAGACGAAACTACGACTGAGCAACAGGCCAGCTTACATGCCCACCGAGGGCAAGATGGTATCAGACATCAACAAAGCGTGGAAGGGCCTTGAACTAGCTGAGAAGGCATTCGAGGAGTGGCTGTTGTCTGAGATGATGAGACTCGAGCGTCTCGAGCACTTGGCCCAGAAGTTCAAGCACAAGGCCGACGCCCACGAGGACTGGACTGCTGGCAAGGAGGAGATGCTCACCTCCCAACATTTCAGGCAGTGCAAACTCAACGAGCTCAAGGCCCTGAAGAAGAAGCACGAGGCCTTCGAGTCCGATCTTGCAGCTCATCAAGATCGAGTTGAACAAATTGCTGCTATTGCTCAGGAGCTCAATACTCTTGAGTACCACGACAGTGCATCGGTGAACTCTCGTTGCCAGCGTATCTGCGATCAGTGGGATCGTTTGGGTACCCTAACACAACGCAGACGTCAGGCCCTGGACGAGGCGGAGCGTATTCTCGAAAAAATTGACGTTCTCCATTTGGAGTTTGCGAAACGTGCAGCACCATTTAACAACTGGTTGGACGGTACAAGGGAGGACCTGGTGGACATGTTCATTGTCCACACGATGGAGGAGATTCAGGGGCTTATGGACGCGCATGCAGCCTTCAAGGCGACCCTCGGAGAGGCCGATAAGGAGTACAATTCAATCGTCGGTCTAGTTCGCGAGGTGGAATCGATTGTCAAACAATTCCAGATTCCAGGTGGTCTGGAGAATCCGTACACAACCCTGACAGCCCTGGATCTCACCAAAAAATGGAGTGACGTACGACAACTAGTACCACAACGAGATGGAACACTGCAGGCAGAGCTGAGAAAACAACAGAACAATGAGCTACTCCGAAGGCAATTCGCTGAGAAAGCAAATGCTGTTGGTCCCTGGATCGAACGCCAGTTGGACGCAGTGACGGCTATTGGTATGGGACTGCAGGGTACACTCGAGGATCAGCTACATCGTCTGAAGGAGTACGAACAGGCTGTCTACCAGTACAAGGTTCACCTCGAGGAGCTCGAGAAAATTCACCAGGCTGTCCAGGAGGGAATGATCTTCGAGAATCGTTACACCCAGTACACCATGGAGACACTTCGTGTTGGTTGGGAGCAGCTCCTCACTTCGATAAATCGAAACATCAACGAAGTGGAGAATCAGATTCTCACGCGTGACTCCAAGGGCATCACTCAGGAGCAGCTCAACGAGTTCCGCAGTAGCTTCAATCACTTTGACAAGAATCGAACAGGAAGACTCGCTCCAGATGAATTTAAATCCTGTCTGGTTTCACTGGGGTACTCCATCGGCAAGGACAGACAAGGGGACATTGACTTCCAACGAATTCTCGCTATTGTCGATCCTAACAGCTCTGGTTATGTCCAGTTTGATGCTTTCCTCGACTTCATGACACGTGAATCCACGGACACAGACACCGCTGAACAAGTTATCGACAGTTTCCGCATTCTTGCTGGTGATAAACCGTACATTCTTGCTGATGAATTGAGACGGGAATTGCCACCTGATCAGGCTGAGTATTGCATCCAGAGAATGCCACCTTACAAGGGACCCAATGCACAACCCGGTGCTCTCGATTATCGTTCATTCTCGACTGCTCTTTATGGCGAGTCTGATCTATAAAATTTCGATGGGCTTTTCATTATTGACGGGGACGCGACGATTTAAAACGAGAGGTGAATCATCCTGTGGACGAACAAATGGCGTTTAATCACCACTGGGTGGAATCAGTTGTTTTATTTTTCGGAGGGATTGATATTGCTCGGACACTGGACGATTCATCTCGACTGACGAAATAACGACAGATTGAAAAATGGCTTCCAGATTTAAATATTCATCATTCATTGTTCATGAGAGAAAAGGAAAACATCTATGAAGCATATACGTACGAGTCTTAGTCAATGTAGCGAGTGCTATTGGTACTGAAGTACTGAATTTGCCATATCTATCAGCCAAATATATATATTTTTCTCACATCGGTAAAACCACTGAATCCTCGGGGCTTCCTGAGATTTAAAATTATTTCAAAGGTATTTCGTACACCAATGAAACCTAATAATTGTGAAATCAAAATTGAATCGAGTGAAAATTTTGGGTAAAATATCATGATAGCCCCGTGCTCGAGTGAAAAATAATGCCTATTTTTTTACGACCTGATTAAAAAGACGAACGGCTGTTAGCAACACGAAAGAAACGATTAGATAAGCCGTGCAGCGTAAATGTATTTTGTAAAAGCTATATATCGAGGCGATCTAAGGATGACGCGAAGCAATGCGTCAGTGAGAAATTGACAAAATGATAAAGCAAGAGATAAGCAAAACGAGAGGAGGAATCAATTTTATTTATTTATTTGATTTATTTATTTATCGCGGCGACTGGATGACGACATTACTCGATTATCAGTCGTCACGAGGGAGAAACACTCTTTTTTTTTTCAAGGTATTTATTTTTATAAATATTTTTGAGGCGACGAGCTTTTGATTTTTACCAGAACCGATAACTGTAATAACGAGAGAGTTAATCATTGGAATGAAGTAAACAACAGTTTCATTAAATATTTGTACATCTGTTGCCGTCGATGGACGATTAAAATAGATATGTACGATTCACGTATTCGGGATAATCGATAATCAATGGGTCAAGTGTCATTTTTAGTTTGAATCAATTGTCAAAAGGAGGATAACAGTTTATTTTGTTTGGCTTGAGGCTTCAACGCTTTGTACTATTATTTCTTTATTCGATTTCATCATTGTCCGATGTCACACGATCATTTACACCATTCGATCTCTTCTCTGTTCAATTTCCGGATTATCATAAATGGGAAACGAGAGGTGATCGATATAATTGGAGGATCATGAGAGAGGAGAGAACATTAAAAAAAAAAGTGCTCACGAGTCACCCACACTTCGCATACCGCCACGCACAATTGCATTACTGTCATTTACCTTATTTTACATTATACTTTTATTGTAATTATATTTAAAGAAACACGAAATATATAATTAATTTAAAGAGTGTAACGGAAGTCAGATTTATGTCGATGACAGATTTCATTAATTTCGTTCAACTTCTGCTGGGGAGTGTGAATCAACGTTGAATACTGAATTTATGAGTAAATATGTACTTTTGGAGGAAGAAAATAATGGGAGATACGTCGATGAAATAAAGGAGAGAAAAACAGAGAGTTTTGAGAAATGAGAGTGTTATTTTAATCCAATCTTTTACGCGGATCTCTTCTTTCGCTTGAAAATATTAGACGTTCGCTTTTTTTTCTCAGTGATGATTTCATAACAGTTCGTGATCATCAATCATCAATTTGAATAGTCTCGCTAATTGGTGGAAATTAGTAAACAAAACGAGGCAGCTAATTCGAGCATCTTTTTTTTATCAATTAGAGAATTTCGGATTCAATTCTAGAAAGTAGAATAAAATTCAATAGAATTTGAATTGATTCCATAAATTCGTCCTGAACAAAAAAATATCCGCAGAAAAATTTCGTTCGCCAAATATATTTACTTTCCACCAGTAATTCTGTATAAGTACTTCCATCACACATGGAAATATCACATATATCTTCCTGTGGTTAAATATACCTGAGAGTAGAAATTTTCCTTTTCGCAATGCATGAGTTCAAATTTCCCGATAAACAGAAGAATCTCGACTGAAAATGGTGACGATCAACTTCTCCATCTCCCGCAACTCTCGAATGCAATAAAATAGGAATGTAAGACACACCGAAGGACAAGAGTCATGTGTCAAACGTAAACTACTGCAGTTTTTCCCGAGCACCCGACGGGTCCTCCACCGTTCAAACTCAATCCGTGAGTCACAACCAGAGGAAAAAATAAGAAAAAAAAAAAATAATACTGAACAACTCGCCGGGGTCCGTCATTGGCGGTTGTAAAAATATTAACCGAGGTCGTTGGTATCGGGTCGGAAATTTCGCTGCTCAATTGTCATTAATCCCCCCAAATTGTTCCTGAAGAACTTCGAATTTCTACAAGATTGCCAGAGTGACACAGTAATTATCCGCGATCGCGTGTGCTTACCGATTAAAAAAAATCACAAAATCATTGTGAAAATTTCATTTGCGCAGTTGGGCACAGCCTATCAGGAGTGGATCGTGCGCTCTCCGGATCTCGTGTACATTCCCACTGTTGTATTTTTATCCGGGCAACCGTCAGTGATTATCAGTGTTAAAATCCTCAACAATCACCCAAGACAGTCATAAAAAATCGTTGACAATGTCCTGAGAATTATAAATATATATATTCCTATAATCAACAGTGACTGAATCCTTCTAGAAACGCCTCGAGACATTCGTGCATAAAACAAACGAGTAACTGTCACGTCAGTGATAACCGCCAAATTCGTCAACAATGGAATGATGCAATTGAGATTCCACGATGAATATTAAACGCACAGAGAGCCCCAGGTTCGATGATTGAATACCTCCCGACGTTTTTGACGATAACCTCCAAAGAGCTCTACCTCCTGGTGCTCCAGCAACTGAGAGACCGTTCATCTCGATATATTAATTAGAAATGAGCTACCATGATGAGTACCGTTATCATAATGATACTGCATGGAGAGGGAAACAGGATCCAAACGGTTCAGCGATAATGCAGAGTCTTGATTCGCTCACCAGTATCAACAGGGACATTTATCACTCAGCAAATGGTCCCTCCTCTGGTGTATCACTCCACGGTATTCCCTCCCTCCACGAAGTTCATGATCCCAAAGAGAATATCAATTACAAGAGTTTCTTGCTGATCGATGGTAGAGAGTACCTCAAAGTATCCAGTGTTGAACAATTTATCAAGAATTTGGCTTGTGGTAATGAGGCGAAGGTCAAGGTCGTCTCGATATTTGGGAATACTGGTGATGGAAAGAGTTACGCGTTGAATAAAACATTTTTCGAGGGACACGAGGTCTTCCAAACGTCCAACGAGCAGAACTCCTGTACCCTGGGAGTCTGGGCTGCCTTTGATCACAGTCTCGGGGTCATTTGTCTCGATACCGAGGGACTACTGGGGATCACTGTCCACGAGAATGAACGCACTAGACTTCTGTTGAAGGTCCTTGCTGTATCCGATATCGTTATTTATCGGACTAGGTCCGAGAGACTGCACAGAGATTTATTCACTTTCCTTGGGAGTGCGTCTAGGGCTTATGGGCATCATTTTCATAATGCTCTTCAGGCGATTGGCAGGAGGGAGGGTGTACCTAATAGCTCCAGTGCTCTTGGCCCCAGCATCATCATCTTTCATGAGACCAGACACACCAGACCGCTTACCAATAGTAATTTCATTTTTTTCTCGGCAGTTAGATGTTAATAATAAATTATCAATATCTGTCCGATAAATTTCGGATTAATTGCCTTCGAAAATTCGGGAAAAATTCACGAATATTCATCAGCATTATAATTATTATTTGTGAAGAACATAATTTTTATCAACTACTCATTCCAGACACTGCAGAAAGTGCCGAAGATGTAATCCGCAATCGCTTCGTCCAGATGAGACTCGAGATCGAGGCATTCAGTTCTATAAAATACGTTGGCATCCAAACAAACACCCCACCAACAGACTTCAATTCCCTTCGTCACGCTGTAAAAAGTGAATTGGACAATACAACAGTCAGATCAGCAAGAAAACCCCACCTAGTCTACGGTACCCTAAAGCTCCTCAACGAAAAGTTTTCAGGTGAAATCCAGAGTATCTCGAACGTACTGTTCCCCGACCAGTACTTTACGTGTCCAGTCAAGTGCCTCAGCTGCGACTGCAGATGCAGAAACAGTATGGGTCACTTGAAAGAGGGCAAGCCCCACCTGAGCAACACAAGATGCCGATATCAGCATCAGTACGAAAATCTCGTTTACATCTGCAAGAAGTGTCACACCAATGGGAACGAGGTGATCGTGTCAAGCAGAACGAAAACAACTACCGAGAATGGCTGGTATGGCCTCGCCAAATACGCCTGGTCTGGTTACGTAATTGAGTGTCCAAAGTGCGGAGAAATTTACAGAAGCAGGCAATACTGGTACGGTAACAAGAATCCTGAGGAGGCAGCTGTTAGAACTGAGATAACACACGTGTGGAACGTCACAGCTGTTACAAATCTCAATCAGAATGCAGCGCAGAAGGTGATCGACGGTGTATCGTACATCTCCGAAGCTGTAGCCAATGCCTCACTCCAACCCACCAAAGCCATCACTGCTTGGGTTGCTGATCAGGTGGCACCAAACTACTGGAGACCCAATAACGAGATTAAAAATTGCCACAAGTGTAGGACAACATTCGCACCCTGCGATACAAAGCACCACTGTCGAAGCTGTGGTGAGGGCTTTTGCGCTGAGTGCTCCAGCCACGCCAAGCCTGTTCCCTCCAGGAATTGGTTCAGCCCTGTTCGGGTATGTGATGAGTGCTTTGAGAAGGATGACAATTCCAATGATAGTGAGGAGATCGGGGTTAAAGAGGATGTCAGTGTTAGGAAGGTCTCTGAGCACGTGGTCTCGACACTCAGTGCTGTTGGAACTGTTCTAACTTATTCCAAATGTAAGGTTGTCTTGAAAATTTTTAAGACGTTGGGCCTGAACTTTTAGTAATTCAATATATCTCGGAAAGTAATTTAATGAATTTCTGAAATGATTTCAGCTCTCATTAAAGACACCGTCAGACCAAATTACTGGGTACCTGACGCCGAACTGACGAATTGCTGTGTCTGTGACAATCTATTCTCCGACGTGTTGCCTCTTCATCACTGCAGAGATTGTGGACGTGGTGTCTGTCAGGATTGTTCACAACACCGAAAACCAGTCCCTCGTCGAGGATGGGATAATCCAGTTCGTGTTTGCGATGCGTGCATTAAAATTGACTGAAGTTATTCAATTCGGCTACGTCGCTCTTCGTAGATTTTAGTCAGTTATTGATCCAGGGATATATAGTAAACAATTGTGAATTGTTTCATGTACAGACGTTCAAAATTTTCATGGTTAACTCATCCAAAATTCCTCCATTGACTGATGATCGACGAAATGGATGTTAAGGGCAGTGCCATATCGTCATTTATTTTTATACCCCAGTAGATTGAATATTTTTATCACAACTCAATGCGATGGATATGAACCAAGTGGTTAAACGATATTAATTGCCATCCGAAAGAATTTTTTCGGTGAATATCTCGGAATTGAGAGGAGATCGGGTCTCATTACGATTCCACATCCTCAAAAGTTTTCAATTTTCAAACGCATCTCGTTCTGTCACTTTATTCCAGCGAAATCCCAAACGCAGATCAAATTTATAAAACCGGGAGATATAAATGGGAATGAACCACTAATTTACATGGAAGTGCAAATAATTACACTTATCAAACAGATAATACGAAAGAATGGGCTGTGAATGGATAATCGAACGTGCATTTTTGTTACGATGAAATACAAGAGATAACGGACAACTGTCAGCATTCCTCTGTATGAATTTGTGTTTGGTTTATTTGTAACGGTTTATCAATAAATTGAAAGAAAAAGAATTAATTTCAAAATAATTACTAAAAACTGTAACAACTCAGTCAAATCCCGATTATCACTTTTCCCAGTTAATTCCCCCCACTCTCAAAAATTTCTGGGGCGATTTCAGTCACTCTTGAATAAAAATGAATAATGAATGATCCCGGAGCAATGACATTGCCATTTTGATCTGTAAATCAGTCTCATTTAAAAATTGCCCGCCACGCATCACAAAGTATCTACAATCTGTCATTGGTCCTCGGCCAGTACCTCAAAAACATTTAGAGACCCATAAAAATCCCGCGACCCCCACTCGCTAAAATACCCAACCAACCACAAATCTCAATTATGTTATACCCTGACGTCACAATATGGCGTCCCGATCAGCTGGGTGTTGTGTAGAGTGTGCTTGCAATGCTCGTCTCCGTGAAAATCTCTAAGGACATCGTCTGTCTCGCCCGTTAACACGTAAGTCCGATGGTGCATTGGTGATACGTAATAAATCCCAAAAATAAGTGTCAAGTGTCTTTAAACATTATCTCACGCCCACAATCGACGAATCAACGATTGATATTAAACTGAAGGTGTATAAACGGAAAAACGCCAGTTCATGTGCCCATTTGAATTATCCGATTAATTTATCGGTACCGATCCCCGAGGTACCCTCCAGATGATCGACAAGTTCCCAGAGTTCTGACTCCCCTGTAATAAATCGTGAAATCCCGGTGATTGAATCCAGGTCGACGTGTAAATAAGTGGGACAAGACGAATTCCTCAAAATATGGTTATCCTCACACCTAGAATTACCACGTCAACTACATCCACTTGATCCTGATTTTTTGATTATCAAATTGTCCTCTTGATGGTACCCAGTCGATCCCAAAATGTGAATCTCAACATCGAACGCGTCTTCATCGAAGAAGAAAAAAAAGAATTCCGTGTGCAAGTGATGCCGTGGCCATTTTCATGCTTGCTCGAGTTTCGTAATCATTATCAACTCCATATTTGAATTCAACAAGTAACTCGACGGACTGTTTTGTTTTCCGAATGATTTATCAATTTTTGTTATCGCCAGGGAGTTGGATCCAGTCGTCACTTCAGTGATCCTCCCAAAATCGTCGATAATCCTGTGATTTAATACAATGAAAACAAATCGGATTTCCTCGAAAAAATCCTCTCATACTCCCCGATAATTATAATTAGAAATTCCGAAAAAATCGGTATGATCGTTGATGTTGATTTCAGTTGATTCAAAAAAAATCCGAAAAAAATTCCTAAAAATTCAAAGGTGAACAGTCGTATGTACATTCTGGTGGTGCATTTATCGCATTGTGTGGACGCTAAAAAATTCCTACGCCATCTTTCGTCGCTCTTAAGACGTACATTAATCGGTGCAACGTGGTTAGCTTACTCGATCGAGTGCAACAATGGGCTGGGATTGGCTTCCAAAAAAGAGCACTCAACGCCCACCCCCTGGGCCCATTCGAAACTATCGAGTGTCCCAACGAGTCCAACGATTCGATTGATTCATTTTCCTGGGGAAATCAGTTCAACATTCCGTTCAACATTCGTTAGCCATTTTGTAACGTACATAGAATAAACAAATGACGCAATTGCACACCGGGTTAGTTTCCTAGTAATATGGAGGGGGTGGGTGACGTGAATTTGAATTCACTGGGAAGTCGATTCAAATTTTCGTCCAGGTGTTTTTAAATTTTTTTGTTTTTCTCTTCGGGTCTTTTTATGGAGATTTTTGGAGGTTTGGATTTTTAAGGCATTCATACATGCAGAGTCTGGCATCTCGTGATCACCACGAGGAGGGGAGAATTGTGTTGCTAAGGCACCTCGTGAGCCGGTTGGTGGTGCAGTTGCTTGGCAACAGCATCTCTAGCCGCTCACAACCGCAAATACGACGCTATCATTGACGCCTCCCCCCCACCTACCTCCCCCTTGCATTCAACAAATTACGGGGAAAAATGTTGATAAAGTTGATGAAAATACCTCAGCCCGTCCACTTCATCAATCATAACGACTCCTTGCAAATTTGGGATTTATTTCTGTTGTGAAGTGGTTAAACGACGTTCTCAACTCCTGAGTTTATGGCAGATATCTTCGAAATCGTGAAAAATATCGATATTTTTGTAATAATCTTTTTCGTCGCTCTCAACTGGCTCTACAAAAAAGGTTCTAACAAAAATTTAATTTTCTCCCTCGGTTTCCGAGATATTTCCGATATATTCACCGACCTTACTTCAAATTACTATTTCGTTTTAATACTCCAATACAGATTTTCCCTAATTGAAGGCATGAAAATTCGACGGAAAATAACGAAAAAAAAAAATGGAATATCCGAATTAATTTTGGTGGTATTGAAGGATAGGAAGTTGAGGAAAATTTAGATAAATTGCAGAACAAGACCTTGAAGTAGACAGCGAAACTCCGAGCGGGGTAACGTTACCATGGAAACACGTGCTGACACGCATAAACGAACTTTGCGACTTTTTTTGCTCCTCACCAAAGAGAACAGAACAGAGCGAATCGGGTTGTGCGCGGGTGGGTAAATACCGGGATCGAATTGAGATAAATAATGGAATAGTTGAGGGTATGGATGGGGCAAAATAGTTGATACATTTGGGCTAATGTCCTAAGCCATTACAATCGTCACTGTGGTGCTTCTATTTCCGGCAACGACAAGAGAACTCTTCATCTTTGACTTGTACCTCTCTTTTTCATCCTTCTTTTACTCTTTCATGGGCGCATCGTGCTTATGTATTTTTAGACAGAGACTTTACTCAAATTAGACGTGCGTGCCCAATGAAATTCTAGGTGGTAACCATTTCCTTATTTTATTCCTCTGGGATTTTTTAATGACATCAGTTGCGATGGGTTTCATGAATTATTATTGAGATGAGGATGTTTATGAGGTTTTCTTCGTGGCGAAATGCCATTTAATCGCGGTAAAGAGAATCTCGGTGAAATCACACTTGAATTCGTCTTCAGAGCAAGATAATGAGTCGATTCTGGTTGTCTTGGATTTTATTTCGAATTATTTGGTGATAGAATTGTGGCATTTTCGATGTTCTCGGTGTTCACGGTATTTATCGTTCAGTTATTTTCATTTCTCGTTGCGGGTTTATTACTGCGATAAGGCTTTATCAATATTCCTAATTTATTTTTGGTTTTCTTCGAAGATTCTCGCGATTCCTACGAAATTCGTTCTCATTGCATTTTTCACCTCATTTTATTATTATTTATTTTCCCCAATTTCTCGCAATTTTCCGGAATAATTGAATTGCCAATCAAGTATTATAATGGAATGGAATATTCCGTTTAAAAATAGAAATTTTGGAATTCAGTCCCGAAAATATGGATTTATTAAACAATCTTATTAATTACTGAGGATTGCAGAATTAATTAGAACCTAATTTATCGATATTTAGAGACCGGGGCAACCGGCGACGGGTCACAAGGACATTAAATCCAGGAATAATCGAGGGGAAAAATAATAATAATGGCACCTGATAGGCCCGACAGTTCCGGAATGGAGACCGCTTGCGGTCTGGGTGTGACACGTGTCCTGAACATTGGAGAAGCTGCATTGACATTAAAAGAGGGGGACAATGCCAGTGGTTTTGGCGAGGGAACTAGTCCAGGTGCAACGGTGGATGTCGTCGACGATAATAATCCATCCGGGGCTAAAGGGGCAACCGAGGGTAGTGGTAAACACAGTCAGGATGATGATCTTACGTCGTTAGCATGGCTGCACCAGCAGAATCTTCTCAAAGGTCTCGAGATATCCAGCCCCACGAAAGTTATCAAGGATGAAAATATTTTGAATAACAATAATAATGATGGGGAAAGCGCTGATTTATCTGAGAATACGAATTCTGTATCCAGCTTGGATGATGGATATTACCCAGGTGATTTGAACAATTTTTTTCTTTTCATATTCCTTCGATATTTTTAAGAGATTATTATTCATTTATTATTCCATTAGTTTATCATTATTTACGAGACGAATCGAGAAGAAAACATCTAATTCTGAATGAACAAATCAAATTAACAAATCAATTAATTAATTGTTCGTTAATTTGTATCCCCAGAGAGCAATGGAAAGTCTCCAGTGAATGGAAAGACCCAGAATTATTCGAGTCCAGGGAAAAACTACGAGAAGACAGTGCAGTTGTATTCAGATTCTGTGAAATTGACGTATCCAACTCAACCGAGTAATCAAGCTAAGATATCACTGAACAATAATAATCTGCCGGTGTCGAATCGCAATAAGCATCCAACCCACATACCTTACGATCCTCATTTGCATAGAAACAGCAAACCACCGTATTCATTCTCATGTCTGATATTCATGGCTATCGAGGACAGTCCCGTTAAGGCACTGCCAGTCAAGGAAGTCTACGCTTGGATACTCGATCATTTTCCCTACTTCCGGAATGCACCCACTGGCTGGAAGAATTCGGTCAGACATAATCTAAGTCTCAACAAGTGCTTCAGGAAAGTGGAGAAGGCACCGGTAATTTATGTCACTCTTATTTCTGTGTATTCCTATTATTTTCAACTTTTACTTTGTGAAAACAAAAGTTTCTCGATATTTTTCTGCGAACATGTCAGCTCCCGAGGTATTGGAAGAATTGTGCGGAAAAGAGACATTTAGTTAAAGTCTTCTTTAATGATGGAAATATTTGGAAAATCATTGAATTGTTTTTGATGAAATTTTTAGAACCTGGGGAAGGGGTCGTTGTGGATGGTGGATGACCAATACCGTCCGAATCTTCTGCAAGCTCTCTCCCGGGCGCCTTTTCCTCCGCCAACTGCTCAAAATCTCTCATCCCCGGATAAAATACCGAAGAAAAATACAAATACGAGATTACCAGATCCCGTACTGTTTCCGTATCTATCGAAGAGGCTAGCATCAAGCAACATCACAGACAGTCCAGACCTTGAATTTGACAGCGATGTTGACGCAGCTGCTGTCGCAATGCTCTCGTTTAAACACGGACCAATTATTCTCAACCATAATAAAGGTAACACGATGGAATTTATTATCCGATGGACGATTCGTTATTTGGAATATTTTTTATAGATCGAAAAAGAAAACAAACGATTGAGCCTGAAAAATTGGTGCCTGTTATCACACGGAGTTCGAGTGAGGATCACACGTACAGTTGTATCACTTCTGCCAAAACAGACAGGTGAATAGAAAACGACTTTCGAAAAGAATCCTACAAAATATCGATATTCGTTATCTTTTCAATTATATTTTTCAAACTCTGAGTTTTTTAATTCAAATAAATCAAATTATTTAAATTTGTTCAGTCATTAAATTTAAATAATTACACTTGAACAAATTTGAACGAGCCAAACGATTTATTAAATTTGAAAAAAAAAGTTTATAAAATACAATCGGAATGACATCGAATATCTCTGAGTTAGTACCAATTTTTATTCGTAATTTTGAAAAATTGATAATTGGAAATTCTAATATGGATGTGGATTATAATATGAATTGAAAATTGAAATGAAAGTATTGCCAGCAAAAGCTCGAGCAACTCAGTGGAGGAGTCAGTGAGTGACGTGGACGAGCAACGAAAAATAGCAGAGGGTGCGGACGCCCTGTTGAACCTGGCAAGTGTTGCCCTGTCCCACAACAACACGAGTCCACGTCTGAATCACCACGAGATTAAATCCGTGGCCCTTCTGACTGGCACATCGCCCCCTTCATCACCATCACCACCTCCGAAGACATCGAACCACTCGTCCCCCTCTAAATCAAAGCGACGCACCACCTCGAATGACTACTCGAGTCTTCCTGACAAGAGACGCAGACGCTGGCGAGAATGGGGAGACACCAACAGGTATCTCAAACAAGTCAAGGGTTAGTGATCGTTCATTGTATTGTCAATATTTTTAAATCATCACTCTCCCCTGACACATGTGGCCAAAGTCGTATTTTTCTCGAGAGGCAGAGGGAGATGTAAAGAACTTTTTTAAATTGATTTGAATTAGGAAAAATGGAGAAAAGATTATTTAATTATGCCAAATAATTTGGCAGCACTGAACTAAAAGATGAAAAATAACACAATAAAGAAAATATCGAAATCAATTAGTTTGAGGTACGTCTGGCGTTAATTAATTCAATCTAAAGAGTGAGTTGTAAAATCGAGAATCAACACGTCGAATCGAAAATGCGCCCGATAAATTTAAAAAAACGAGAAGAATAATCGTGAAACGATGAGAGAAAAAAATGAATCTTGTTAGACCTGTTGTGAGGAATTATACATATTAATTCATAGAGAGTTTAACTAATTATAAATAGAGTTCTATATTAGTTTCCCTTCTGTAGATATGTATAGATATATATACAATTGACAAAGAGGAAGAAAATTATAATATTCGAATAGAGAAATTTAAATAATATATTTGAGAAGAAAATAACGACACAAAAATAATAAAAAAAAAATCTATAACGGTAAAATACTGCAGCGAATAATAGCAATTTGCACAGTCCAACGGCGGATGCGAGAGTAAAAGGTGCATGAACGAAATGAAAAATATAATAATGAAACACGATAAAAAGAGTTGTATAATTTTTTGCCTTTTTCTACTTCACTTCGAGCGAGAGCTTTTCCAGTTGAAGAAATTGTAATTCTTAACTGTTGCTGTACAACGTAGAATAGAATAAACTCAGTGGATACGCTCAAAGTAATCGCACCTTGTCACGTATATATTTTTATCAATTCGTTCTATACGATTCAGTAACAGCCGATTATTTCTTTGCATCATTCGAGGAGCGAAATAAAACGTACAATAATCTTGATATCGAGGTAAAATTTGAGTTTGCGAGGGGAATAAAGTGCGAAGACAAGTGATAACAGTGCGATTACTTTCGGGAATAAAAAAAAATGTTGGCTCATCCCAGTTATCTTCTACATGTATTATAGTGATGGTGAGAATGATGAAAATTGTCAGATTTTGAGAAGAGATGTGGTATATTTTTACAGGGCACTGCCCGCGTGATACGAATAAAGCTCTTCCTAACTTGTTCGCTGTGTAGTTTTTAGGGTAATCATGAAATATTAATCGATAAAATGCTCAGCGGGATAAATATGATCATTGCAATGCACGCGAGCACTGTAGAATTTTTAGTCCTATTATTTGTTGTTTTATTAATGTTTTAAATTCACTCCGAGACGTTGACGATAACTTCTTGAACAAGCATAATTATTTTAATGAATTGAAATTCTATTCGTGTCAGTCGTTGAAATGAAATTCAGCAAGTACCACGCAATAACCTCGATAAGAACGAGAAAAATAAACCAAACATCACAACCACTCTTTGAAATAATTTTTACTTTCGTAGAATAAGTCCGTTCGTTGCGGCTGAAGGTTTGTTCTTCCATATAGCTTATTCTAAACTAATTGAGTAGGAATTCACCAGACCCAACGCACTCGGGACTGGTCCACAATGTTTATCACAACTAGGACATGAGTAGAGCTAACAGTTAAGTCAGATGTGGGTGATCTATCACCCAGAGAAATAAGATACAAAATTTTAATAAATAGTGACATAGTCTAATTTAAGACAGAACGAAATACTAAAGCAAAATGAAAATACATGCAATATACCAGTAATATCTGATATCGGATGAAATACTCTAGTCGGCCGGTACTTTTTCAAGTGACTCAATTTGTTGTCCGATGAACCATGAGAAATGTACAGTATGTGGGAGGAGCTATATATATGTATGATAATGAAATCTTGTAGACTCAAATGATCGTTATTTTCTTGATATTTTCAATCAAGTCTTTTGAATATGAGAATATTTCAATCAAGTGACGATTGTACTGTGACTCGCCCGTTATGTTCTATTTTTTACGCTCGACGTAATTTATCAAGAACTTCGGGTGAGCAGGGAATATTTACCCATCCAACAATTGTATGGTAACGAGTTAGTGACGAAAGGGAAAGAATTATGCTGAGAATATCAATATACAGGGGGACATCAGCACAGAAAAATAGTCGATAAAAAAATTCAATTATTTCGAGGGATAGATTATTTCAGTTTTTGATGGACCAATTTTTTTTACATTTCGTCAATGAAAATTTCCTCCACTTGGTTTCTACGATGGAAAACAAGGTACAGCGAAAATAAATATCGAGAGAAAAATCAAAATGAAAAAAGTATTTAATGCAATTAACGCAGAGATCGATAGATTTTTCTGTTAGTTGACGTTTTTTTTTTTGTGGTAGTGGATGGGAAATTGTAAATGTGAAATGAAAATTATTGGTTCAGTCATTTTTCGAGGCATTAATATTGCTATTTTTCATTGTTTATTTATCGATAAAATTTGTAAGATTGATGCTGATGTCACCCTGTATATGAGAGCCATTTACACACCCAGCCACGGACAATCAAAATGCCACATGGTGTTTCATTTGCTTCAGTTGCTATGACATTGTGCCAAACCGAATGATGAAAGCGTTATTGATAATTAGGTAATATGAAAATTTAAGAACGGAAATTATTACGAGAAGATAAACACCAATGCCCCGTTATTTTTAATTTCATCCTGATAATCCTGTAGTGTTGTAGTGAATACATAAGACTATGTATATTGTACAATTTTCTGAAAAATCTATTTTGTTGGCGTAATTATTGGTTAATTACAATTACATTTATTATTGCTATATGATATTTTTAATTTCGAGACGATAGCATTGTAAAATGTTTGTTAAGTTTTTGGCCTTGCTTATATACAACTTTGAGTGTAATATTTTAGGCTGTAATTACAGAAAACAGAACTTTATCTAAACGATACTAAAACATCACTGTATTTATTATTAATTTTTGTAGTTTTTTATTTATTCTCTGTTTACCCTGGGGTTTTATGTGGAATTTTTATTTCTGGAGAGAAATTGAGTTGTCAGTTGACGAAGAAAATTTTTGGAAATTAAATCACTGGGATTTTCAAATATTTCAATGAAGTTATTTTTATTTGGAATTAGAAAGACTCATTCCGATGAAGATCCACACGGGAATATTAATATGACGAAAAATATATTTTAAACAACCTTGAATTCGGTGAATCTAAAAAAAAAGTCCAACGAGAACTACCAACCCCGGGTAATCTGTATTCAACCTGAACATTGAAACCGGCGCCGTCGTCTCCGCGAAGGACGCGGATGTTCCTGCACATCCGATTGGTCCCGCCCCGTCCAATAAAATCCCCCCAAGTCCAATTCCACCCCCGTGCCAAGAAAAACCCAATAATAAAAAACCCCCTATCCAAAAAAGCCTCCACCACCCGGGGGAAAAACCCGACCAAGAAAATCCCCGAAAATTCTACCTCCAAAATCAGTCCCACGTCACGTGGTACTGTGACGTCAGGATAGTTGAGGTACCATAAAAGCTGAAGCTGGGGCCTTCGAGAATAGAAGTCCAAAGGCAAAAGGCAGGGACAGTCGCCTCCCGTGGCGCACCAACGAAACCCGTCAGTCTGCATTCCAGTAAATCCGCTGCCGCCAGACGCCAAAGTCGACGCCACGAGTCCCCATCGAATAATCTCTCATTAATCCCCGATAATTGTCATTTACCCGCAATCTTATCTAGCCAATTACAATCACAACCCCCAAGTGAGAAAATTCCGAGAAAATCCCCTGCACGGAAAAAAAAAATCACGGCGGGGGGACTACGTCGACGAAAATGATTGACGGAAAAAATTGGATTGATCTGTGCATCTGTGCATGAATGCAGCAGTGCAGCAGTGCAGCAGTGCAGAAGTGCAAGAGTGCAGAAGTGCAGGAGTGTAGCAGTCGGAGTGATTTTTTTGTGTTGTTTTTATTTTCTGGTCAAAGGGAATAAACCGAGTGGTTGGACGCAAAAGGGTAAGCTAGGGTTAAATCCCATTTTTATATTCATGGGGGGAGGGGCAAGAGGGGGGCAAGGGGGAC